GGAGAAAAAGTTTATTTGGGGGCTCAAAGTTTCAGAGGTCTCAGTCCATAGGCAGCAGTCTCCATTCCTTGGGGCTCCAGGTAAGGCAGGGCATCAAGGAGTATTGGAGGAGGGAAGCGGCTCACGTGATGATCAGAATGCAGAGACAAGGAGATCTCCACTCTCCAGGTACAAATGTATACCCCCCAAGCCACGCCCCCAATGCCGACCTCCTACAGCCACACCCCACCTGCCTTCAGTTAATTAATCCCATCAGGTGAGCAATCCACTGATTGGATTAAGGTTCTGATGACCCAATCACTTCACCTCTGATCTTTCTTGCGTTGTCTCACATGTGAGCTTTTGGGGGACACCTCACATCCAAACCATAACAATCATTATTATTCTGGATGCTGACAATAAAGAGCAGACTGAGTTTCAGTCACCTTACTATTCTTTCTAAAGGTACCACAGACAGGGCTTCCTGTAAGCACCCCCACATCTGGGGTGCTGCACCCATGCAAACCACAGGACCAAAACAGACTAGAGCGCCTCTTCCTGGCATCTGCTTTAAACCTCTGTAACAGGACACACACTCCCTTTTTTTCCAAAGAGTTGGAATTGAAAGATAGTGTGCCCTCTTAAAGTCAGACAAGCCACTGGACTTCCAGCTCTTTTCTTTGTGCAGAAAGTGCCTGGTGTGGCCTCGCTAGGCACTCAGCACTCAGTGTACATGGACATGGTGGCACTAGCCAGTGGGCCAGAGGGGTCTGGATTCCTCAAGGAGGACATGGTGAGAAGGGTATTTGGGGACTGATTATTGGACAGTAGTATTATGACGTTTCTCCAAAAAGAGAGAAAAAAAAAAATAAACACCAGCCAGCCTTTCAGAGGAGAGGTCATGGATGGGAATGGAAGGCAGACGAAGACTCCTAGGGACTCTCTCTGGACAGGTCAGGTTGGCCAGGATGGCAAGACTTGTCATTTCCTGGTGGGGTTCAGAGCCTGTGGGTTGGCTGCAGGGGCCGTGATCCTGGGAGAGAGAGCATCCTTTGCCTCAGAGCTGACGAGGGTCCCTGTGTGTGCAGGGAATGGGCTGGTGTGGCCTGAGGAACAAGTTTCTTCGGCCAAGTAGGGGCGGAGCTCCCTACTGCACCAACAGCAGCAGGTGTCACTGCCTCAGCCACACGCCCGGCACAGGTCCTTCCACTCATGCTGTGAACTGGCTGCTCTGTGCCTGAGGACTGGCCGCAGGGGCTTGCTCAGCCCACTCACGGGGCAGCCTGGGAGCCGGGAGAGTAGGGTGCCAGGAATAGCCCTTGGTCAAGGACAGGTACAAGTGTGGACTCATAGTCCAGCTTCCTTGCGTCCTGAGGCATAGGTCTGCTCTGTGCTGTCTCCCCAGAGGCCCCCAGAGGCATAGACCCCAGTCACTCCCAGCAGTCCCTTCTCCCCTGGTTCCCTCTCTTCCTTATCTCTGTTGCTTTATGGAAGCTTCCTGGGGACCAATTCCCAAACAAACCCTTTGCGTACAAATCTTTATTTCCTACTCTGGGAGGATCTCTTGAGACTCTAATCAAACTGGTCTGTTGTGAACTTCCTGACAAAAAATGAGATCTAGATAAGGCAGGTTGACAATGCTCCCACCACATCTCTAGGAAATTAATAACTTAAGTCTGATAAAGCAAAGACCCTTACAAATATGGTGGGCTGTGGTGGGACTGGACAGGGCCTGCAAAAGAACATGGACTTGACAGGCAGCTGTGGACTTATATCCCAATGGGCACCAATTGCCGTGTGACCTTGAACAGTCATTTAACCTTTCTGAAAAAGCTGATGGGCAGCAATCCTTATTTCTCATGTTCTCTAGGAGCACTGATAATGGTGTTCCTGGTGAGGGGAGGGACAGAGAGGCTGGCTAAGAGCCGGCATTCTAGGACATTGCAGCTCTCAAGGCTGGCCTCTGTGCTGCTGGGGTCAGTGATTGTCCCTGCAGTCTGGCCACCTCTGGGCCCTTCTCTTTTCAGTGAGGAAAGACTTGGGTTGGGTGTTTTTCCCCCAGAATGGCAAGGAGCTTTCTATTCCCTCACCCTACTCTGAACCTGGCAGGCTGGCCTGAGTGACCTCTGGGCTCGGCCTGGCCCTGGCCCTGATGGCAGCCCCAGCTGGCAGCCTGGCAGCCAGACCCCGTCTGTGCTTATCAGCTCCCATGTTTGCTCAGGATGGGTACGGGCCTCCTCCTCCCCCTCAGAAAACAAGAAAACATGTTTTGCCAGTGGTGGGGCGGAGTGGGGTGGCCTGGCTGGCTCCAGGCCAGCCCCCTGGTGGGGCGGCCAGTGGCGGGCAGCCTGTTGTTGTTGGAGTGGAGGGCTGAGCCGGCCGTCTGTTTCCTCCAGCTGTCCAAGCACCTCGGGCTGGCGAGGAAGCCCGCGGTCCCATCTGTGGGCCCAGCCGAACCCCTTGTCACAACAAGGGAACAATGGCTTGGATGGGCTGGTGGGTAGGTGGGAGGACAGCCCCCTCTGCTCCCTGTTTCCACCCTGGACAGGCAGGTTGGGGGGAGGCGGGCCTGCTCTCTCCTTACCCCCAGCCGCTGTCTTGTTTTCCACCTCTTTGAACATACAGTCTCCCAACTTGGGGGCCAAGGAAAACAGCAGCCTCAGGAAACGTCTCTGGGCTGGTGTTGGGGTTTGTGGCTCTTGGAGGCGGCAGAGCTCGGGGAGGGGATTAGAGAAGGACTGGATCTCATGGGTCGTGGTTCCGTTTCCCCCGAGCACCTTGCAGACTCTATCCTCCTGCATCTTTGGGTCTTCGGTCCCAGTGTAAGACCTGGGATGGAGCAGATGGCAGAAAAAATTTGTTGACTAAATCAGTGGAAGATTGAACATATGAATTAATTAATTTTCTAGCTCAGTTACCTGGTAGCTGTGTGACTTTCTGCTGGTTGCTTAATCTCTCTAAACCTTATTTCCCTCATCTGTAGACTATGCACCTCATAGAATTGTTGTGAAAATCAAATGTGCTTCTAGCATTTTGGCTTTGTCCTGGGGAGTATATAGTATAATAAATCCAACGGATTTTAACTAGTGTCCCTGGATGATTGTTGTGTTGTGGTGCTGTTGTCAGCGTGTGATTTAGAGGAGGTTTCAGGGTATTTCCAATAAGAAGTCTATGATTTTGTCTCTATGGATACAGGGAAGAGAGATAAGCAGATGCTGTCCCTCTGGAGCCAGGAGGGCATCTCTCTACCTGTTCACCCTGCTGTGCATTGTAGGCTGGCTCCTGGGGCCTGGTTAGCTCTGGTAGTCCTTGGGAACAAGCAAAGGAGTTTGGGTCTCCTGAGAGACTTGTGTCTTTCACAGGGAGTGGGGCCCTTTTACACATCCATCGCCAACTTTCATCTCCACGAAAATACTGCAGAAGTCAATAGGATCCCTGTCTTGGAGATGGTGAAACTGAGACTTAGAGACGGAGTCACATAGTCCAAGTCATACTTTTCAGTCTGTAACTTTGAAACACTAGACTGCATTTGCTCTATCAAGCCTCACTGCCAAGAGATTAAGGTGTGCTATCTTACAGCTTGGATGATCAGTGGGGATTTGGCTCATGGGTGATTCTAGACTCAGGAAGCAAAGATGGAGATTCAAGCTTGAGGCCAGAAATGGAAACAACAGAGCCGGGAACTGGTCTGCCACGAACTAAGGCTTGTGAGGAGTTGTGTTCAGTGCAGGAAGGGTAAGGCTAGAGCAGTGCTGTCTGTGGGTGTGCATTGCATGGCCATGTTGGATTAGTTACACTAATGAGTTAATGACAACAAAAATAAAAACCCAGCTCTCCGTGGCTCTGTGGCTTAACACAAGAAAGTTTGTGTTTTGCTAATTTCACAGTCCAGGGCAATGGGCCCAGCCCTGCTTTGTGTACTCCTGCAGCCTCCTCTAGGGGCTCAGAGTTCTCGGCTGAATCTTCTCCAGTGACCAGCAAAGAAAGGGAAACATGGGGAAGGCAACCTGCCCTGAGCTGCCTGGTCTGTAAGTAACACACGTCACTTTCATCCCCATCCTGGTGGTGAGAACTGGTTGTGTAATCCTGCTAGATGCCTGGAGTCTGGGAGTGGGGTCCAGCAGTGTGTCCAGGAAGAAGAGGTCAGCTCGACCAGTGAGCCTTAGCAGCTCTGCCGCAATAATGACACTTCTTTTAAAATATAGCTAACAATTTTGATGTGCAAGATACTTTGTTCCATAGAGGTTATTATTTTATTTAATTTTCATTTAATCCTTGCAACAGCCTGATGAGTAGGTAGGTAGTTAGGGAGACGACTTCCCCACTTTGTAGACCAGGAAACTGGTACCTATTAGTCTGCTTTCTATCATTAAACTTTTGTCTGTTGTAGAATGTCATATATATTTTCTTTCTTTTTTTTTTTTAACTTAACATGGTTTTGAGATATATCTATATAGTTGGTATGATCAATCTTCATTTATCCCCTTTAAAGCATTTTGTAGTGTTATTTCAGTGTGATTTAAATTTGCATTTCCTTAAGGACTAACATTGAGTACATTTTCATGTCTTTTAGTTATCATTTTGATGAAGTCTTATTTATTAATTTTTCTTTATGCTTTGTGTTTGTAAGAACCTGTGGTCACAAATTTTTGCCTACCTCAAGAATTTCTATTTTTTTGTACTTCTAGAAATCTTATATGATTAACTCTCAAGTTTAGGCTTTAAAATTTATTTTGGGATAATTTTTGTGTTCCGTGTGAAGTAAGGCTGAGGTTCTTTTTTTTTTCTCTATGTATTCAACTGTTGCAGTACTATCTGATGGGGAAAAAATCCTTTCCCCACTGATTTACTTTAGCAGCTTTGTCAAAAATCAAATGACTACATGTGTGTTGGTATGCTTCTGGATTCTATCTGTTTTATTGCTACATATGCTTATCTTTTTGTTAACATTTTGATCAAAATGACTTTAGTAAACTCTGAAAACAAGTAACATGTGTGTTCCAAACTTGTTCTTTTTCTAGGTTAATTTCTGCCCGAAGTATTGATGAGGTTACCACTAGGATTCTATTTAATCTGCAAATCAACTTCAGGATAATCAACAACTTTAAAACATTGAGTTCTGGGCTGGGGATGTGGCTCAAGCGGTAGCGCGCTCGCCTGGCATGCGTGCGGCCCGGGTTCGATCCTCAGCACCACATACAAACAAAGATGTTGTGTTTGCCGAGAACTAAAAAAAAATAAATATTAAAATTCTCTCTCTCTCTCTCTTTCTTTAAAAAAAAAAAACAACATTGAGTTCTGTTATCCATGAACATTGTATGTCTTCCATTTAGTTAGATCTTATATTCTTTTCACCATGTTTCATAGTTTTCAGGGTAGAGATCTCTACAGTTTATTAAGTTGATTCCAAGTTTTTTTTTTTTTTTTTTTAGCTTTATGCCATTGCAAGTAGCATTTTTATTTTTATATTCTTAACTATTCATTTATTTATTATAGTACTGGGAATCAAACCCAGGGGCCCACGCATGCCAGGCAAGTACTCTACCACTGAGCTACATCCCCCTGCTTCATAAGTGGCATTTTTAAAAGTTCAAATTCTGATTATTCTTTGTGGTATATAAAACACAGTTAATTTTTGTATACTGACTTTGTAAATTGCAATTTTGCTAAATCACTTATTTGTTCTACTATCTTTTTTGTAGGTTCATTGGGATTTTCTAAATTATTATATCTCAAGAATAAAGAGAATTTGACTTTTTCTTTTATAAGATGTATGCCTTTATTTCTTTTTCCTTATTTCATTGCACTGGCCAGTAAAACATTAAATAGAAGTGATGTGATCAGAAATATTGCCTACATTGAGTGTGGTTCTTAAAATAGACACTCTTTATCAGATTGAGGAAGTTCTATTCTTAGATAACAGAGTTTTTTAACCACTGGATGTTGAGTTTTGTCAAATGCTTTCTTGTACTTTTTGAAATGATCACATGGTTTTGCTATCTAATGTTTCAGCAACCTTATATTCCAGGAATGAGCTAATTTAGTCATAGCTTTCTATATAAACTTCTGTTAAAGATTATTTGTGTCTAGGATGGGTGCAGTGGTGCACGCCTGTAATCCCAGTGGCTTGGGAGGCTGAGGCAGGAGGATTGTGAATTCAAAGCCAGTCTCAGCAATTTAGCAAGGCTCTAAGCAACTTAGCAAGCCACAACTTAGCAAGTCTCTAAATAAATATAAAGCAGGCTGGGGATGTAGCTCAAGGATTAAGTGCACCTGAGTTTAATCCCCAGTACCAAAAGTGGGGGAAATACTTTATATGTTTATGTCAATGAGGAGTTTTGGTCTGTAATTTATTTTTTGAATTTTTTTTTATCTATTATTTTTATAAGGCTAATGATTGCCTCCTATACTGAATCAAGTTTAAAAAAAATATTCTGGAGGAGTTTGTGTAGAAGTTCTAATATCTTTGCTTTACATGTTTGGTAGAATTCACCAGTTATGTTATCTGAGCCTGGAGTGGTTTTTTTTGTAGGAAGATTTCAAACTTCAAACTATTTCTTTAAATAGATTCAGGGGTGTCTGGGTTATCGATTTTTGAGTGATCTTTGGTTGTTTATATTTTTCAAGGAACTTATCCATTTTATCTGAATTGTTGGATTTGTTGGCATGAAATTATTCATAATATATTCTTATTTTTTTTTGGGGGGGTACCAGGGATTGAACTCAGGGGCACTCAACCACTGAGCCATACCCCAACCCTATTTTGCATTTTATTTAGAAATAGGGTCTCACTGAGTTGCTTAGCTCCTCACTTTTGCTGAGGCTGGATTTGAACTCCCAATCCTCTTGCCTCAGCCTCCAACTCCTCTGGGATTACAGGTGTGGGCAACTGCGCCCAGCTCTTATTCTTTTAATAGCTGTAGGATCTCTGTACTTCATATTGGTAAAATAGGTCTTTTCTCTTTTTGTCTTCATCAGTGTGGCTGGTGGTTAATCAATTTTTTATGTCTTTATGTATTTTTTAAAGAATGAGTTTGATTTAATTGATTTTCTCTATTGTTCATATATTATTCAAGAATGTTATATAAATGGAATTGTACCGTGTGTAGTCTTTTGGGATCGGCTTACTTTACTCAGCATGATTAGTGGAGTGATATCTCATTGTGATTTTAGTTTTACTTCCCTAATGGCAAATATGTCGATACACTTCAAGTTCTTATTTGTCACTAGTGTATCTTCCTTCAGTGAAATGTCTCTTTATGTCTTTTGCCCTGTTCTAATTAAATTTTTGGCTTTTTTACTGTTGAGTTTTGAGAGTTTATTGTATATTCTAGATACTAGTCCTCCGTTGGATATGTGGTTTGCAAATATTTTCTTTCTCTCTGCTGCTTTTCTTTTTATTCTCTTAGAGTCTTTCACAGAGGGTATATTTTTATTTTGAGGAAGTTCAATTCATCCATATTTCCTTTTATAGATCAAGCTTTTGGTGTCAAGTCTAAGAACTCTTTGCTTAGTCCAAAATCTCTTTAATATATATTTTTTTTCTTTTTATGGTGCTGGGGATTGAATCCAGGGCCCTGGGCATGCATGGCAAGCACTCTACCAAGTGAGTTATATCCCCAGACCTTCTTTAATGATTTTTTTATAACTTTACAATTGATATTTAAATTCCATGATTCATTTTGTATAAGGTGTGAGACTGAGGGTGAGGTGCATTAAAAATTTTTTTAAAATAGATGGACACAATACTTTGATTTTATTTATGTGTTTATTTTATGTGATGCTGAGGATTGAACCCAGTGCCTCACACATGCTAGGCAAGCACTTTACCACTGAGCTATAATCCAGCCCTGCATTTGTTTTTTTAAAATTTATTTATCTTTGCCTATGTACGTCCAATTGTTCCACCACTATTTCTTGAAAAGATTACCTTGCTCCATTGAATTGATTTTGTGCCTTTATTAAAAATCAGTTGAGAATAATTGGGTTTATTTCTGAGTTCTCCGATTCATTCCAGTGATGTTCTATCTTTCCATTGGTACCATGCAGCTAGTTCTGGTGCCTATCTAATAATTCTTGAAATTGGATAGGCTGATTTTTTTCCATATATATAATGCACACACACATATATGTAATTTTAGCTATTCTAGTAAATTTGCATTTCCATGTAAATTTTAGAATAACCTTGTCAATATGAATAAAAAGACTTACTGGGATTTTGATAGTAATCCCCTTAATCCTGAATATCAATTTGGAGAGAATTATCTCTTTTTTTCTCTTTTAATATTAGGCATTGAACCCCAGGGTCTTGCACATGCTAGGCAAGTGATCTGTCACTGACTCAATCCTCAGACATTATTATTTTATTTTGAGATAAGGTCTTGCTAAGTTGCCCAGGTTGGCCTTAAACTTGAGATCCTTCTGCCTCAGCATCCTGAGTGGCTGGAATTACAAGCATGCACCACTATGACCAGTTAGAATTATTATCTTTACTATATTGAATCCTCCAATCCATGAACATGATAAATCTCTCCACTTATTTAATTTTTTTTTGAACCAGGGATTGAACCCAGGGTTGCTCAACCACTGAGCCATATCTCAGCCATTCTGATTTTTTGAGAGAGGGTCTCACTAAGTTGCTCAGGGACTCACTAAGTTGCTGAGGCTGGCTTTGAACTTGCCTCAGCCTCCTAAACCGCTGGAATTGTGGGCATGCACCACCACATCTGGCTTTATTTAATTCTTTAAAAAAATTCTTTCAGGGGCTGGGATTGTGGCTCAGCGGTAGAACACTCGCCTTGCACAGGTGGGACCCGGGTTCGATCCTCAGCACCACATAAAAACAAAGGCATTGTGTTGTGTCCATCTACACCTAAAGAATAAATAAATAAATATTTAAAAAATTCTTTCATTAGCATTGTGTAAGTTTTAAACATGCATATTGTTAGATTCACTCCTCATTTTTTTCAGTGATTTTAAATGGTATTGTATTTTAAAGTTCATAAGTTCACTGTTAACATACAGAAGTACAAGTGATTTTCTGCATACACAATCCTGTTATCTGCAAATACAAACAGTTTTCTTTCTTTCAAATATGTGACTTATGTTTCCTAGCTCCCTACTTGGCTTTCTCTACATCACCCTGGAAGGGTATTGGGAGCAACTTGTTTTAGCATCTTGAGGGTGGAAGTCTAGGCTCCCCACCCAGCCTTTGCTAGTGTGGGTGGGTGTGTGGCCTCACCGTACAACATTGTGTGCAAATGTACACACGTACAGCCTTGTGACTTGCACAGTTTTTTTCCGTGGTGTTTGCCTGGGGTGGTTATTGTCTCAAAGTTTTCTGCCTTGCCAGGCTGCCTCTTTCTTTGGCTTTTGTCTAGAGAGAGCAGTGTTTGTTGGAGCTTTTTCTTTTTTTCTTTTTTGGTCCGTGCCTGTTGGCATTTAACGTTTTCTGCCTTCTTAGCCTCCCAATCTTGGATTTTTGAGACAAAAAGAAAATTTAGAGCAGTCACTATCACGTTATTCCTCTGGTTCTGGAGGTCTCTGGTGCCTCTTTCTGGAAGTGGAAGCTATGTTATTATGTTTATCTCCATTGTTGACTCAGAAGCTGTATCTCTATTTTAAGACATGTTTTTGTGGAGGTTTCTCTAGGGTTTACAATATCTTTAATTTATTTTCATAGTCTGTCTTCAAATATTATTTTACCACTTTATGTATTATGTAAGAACCTTGTAAAGATGTATTTCCATTCTCTTTCTCCTGGCCAATGGGTTACTGCTGTTCTGTTTTATTCCTACATACACTGTGAACATCATACTATAATGTCATTATTTTTGACTTCAGTCAATTAAAAGATAATTGAGATTTGACTTCAGTTGATTAAAAGATTAAAAGAGATTTTTAAAATGTGTATGTTCCCTCACATATTTACCATTTTTTCTCTCTTCATTCATGTAGATCCAAATTTCCATTAGTATCCTTTTGCTTCTGCTGGAAGAATTTTCTTAAACATAACTTATAGTGCAAGCCTGCTGGCAATGAATGAGTTTTTCTTTGTTTGAAATACCTTTGTTTTGCTTTCATTAAAAAAAAATGATGGGCTGGGGATGTGGCTCAAGCGGTAGCGCGCTCGCCTGGCATGCGTGCGGCCCGGGTTCAATCCTCAGCATCTCATACAAACAAAGATGTTGTGTCCGCCGAAAACTAAAAAAATAAATAAATAAATATTAAAAAAATTCTCTCTCTCTCTCTCTCTCTCTCTTAAAAAAAATGACAACTTTGATGAGATGTAATTTACTTACCATACAATTCACTCATTCAAAGTGTACAATCCAATGATTGTCAGTACATTCGTGGAGCTGTTCAGCCAATGCCACAGTCAATTTCAGAATATTTTAATTGTCCCAGAAAGAAATGGGGTACCCCTCAGCAGTCACTGTCACCCCCAGCTCCCAGCCTGGGTAACACTAAGCTGCATTCTGTCTCTAGATTTTCTTGTTCTGGACATTAACTGTCAAGGCAATCGTACAAGACCTGGTCTTTGTGAACTGGCTTCTTCTCTTAACATAATATTTTCATATGCATTGTAGGCATCTGTCAATTTCATTTTGAAATGTATTCCTCTAGATTTAGAGCAATAGGTTGATAGCCTTGTTTTTAACTTAAAAAACGTCCTGTTTTGTTTTAGCGTGTTTAGTTTCCGAAGAGAAGTCTTCTTTTGTGCTTACCTCTGTTCCTTTTTGTGTGTGTGTGGGGGAGAGTACTGGGGATTGAATTTTGGGGGCAAAAATTGACCACTGAACCACATCGCCAGCCCTATTTTGTATTTTATTTAGAGACAGGGTCTCACTGAGTTGTTTAGCATCTCATTTTTGCTGAGGTCGGCTTTGAACTCATAATCCTCCTACCTCAGCCTCCCGAACTGCTGGGATTACAGGCATGCGCCACCGTGCCCAGCCCTCTGTTCCTCTTAATGCTTCTTTTTTCTCTGAATGCTTTTAAAATTTTCTTGTTGTCTCTGATTTTCAACTATTTGATTATGATGTGCCCTGGTGTGGTTTTGTTTATACCTATCCTGCTTCAATTTCATTGAGTTTCTTAGCTGAGATTCTGTGAGTTTATGATTTTCATCAAATTTGAAATATTTTGGTCATTTAAAAAAATTTCTTTTCTGGGCTGGGGATGTAGCTCAGTGGTAGAATACTTGCCTGGCATGCCCAAGGCTCTGGGTTCCATCGCCTACATGAAAAACCAACAACAATACAAAAACAAACAAACAGCAACCCAGAAAACAGAAAAACAAAATCTTTTTCTGTGTTCTCTCTCTTCTTCTGGGATTATCCTGTTCATTATTAGATGGCTTATTATTATTATCCCATGGTCATTCAATTTCTTTGAATAATTTTCTTTCTGTACTTCATTTTGGCTAATTTCTATTAGCATGTCTTCATCTTTATTGAAAAATTTTACTAGTTTCTATTCTTATGTAAATTTCATCCCTTGTATTTTTTTCTGATATCACATTTACTTCTCTTTACAAAATCCATTTTGGTCTTTTAAAAAATATTTCATGTTTTTTCTCCAGAACAATCAAGTTTCCTTTATATCCTCAAGAATATATTTATAATATAACTTAAATTTCACTGTTAATGCCATCTTCTGTATCATTTGGGGGTCTATTTTTATTGATTAAAATGTCTTCTGGTTGGGGCTAGGGGGTGTAGCTTAGTGGTAGAGCACTTGGGTAGCATGCATGAGGCCCTGGGTTCAAGACAGTCTCAGGTGTTTTGTTATAGCAGCAGAATTGGACTAAAGACACCCAGCCAACATGCCCTCAGAGAAATGTTCACTTAAAACTCTCACACTGGTACTGCTGTCCCTGGGTGGAATTTCCTGTGGTGGTCATGGAGTCTGTAGTCCCTGGATGCTCCGCAGCATGCATTGGGCTTCTCTCTACCACTTTCTGAAGAATCCTTGATGGGACCGTCTGATTTAGTTGAATGTAAGTTAGGGCCAAACCTGGCTGCTAGGTTCCAGGGAAAAGGTACAGTCTCCCCACTTTGGCTTCCATTATGGGAGGTAGACCCAGACTTCCATGTGTCCTAGGACCTCCTCCCTAAATTGAAGTTACTCAGATATCTGTTCAGAGCTAGCTCCCCACCCAGAGAAGATTCTTCCCTTGTGTAAGGCAGTCTCTGTCTTCTAGCCTCCCTGCCTGTTCCCACCCCAGGGTCAGAAAGGTGGCCTCCTTTCCTTTCTTTTTCTGTCACATACCTGCCTCACATGCAATATTTGGGGGTTCTCTTCT